GAATTATTAATAAATATATTTCGAATTATTAGCTCATCCCTTCAGTTTTGCCATTTCTTCTCTACCATGTAATATATACCTCTCTTACTAGAGTTTTAAAAATACTGGCTCTATTCTTTTTGTTCACATAAACAATCACTCTAATATAATAATGGTTTATAAGGTATAGTGACAAAAGTATCCCTACCATCCCTAATAAATATTCTAGGAAGAAACTTCTATAAATCAGGCTTAAATAAATAATACATGATAATCTACCTAAAACATGTAACCGAGTCCTCCTTTTGATACTTCTTTGATTATCAGCAGAAAACATACCTAAAATGGCTGACATAAGAGCATAACGCCTGCATATCAAGCATAAAAAAGGTAAAATCTTTGATTGTATAATTCTTTAAAACTGGCCAGGATTCATTTTTTGTCTTTCAAGGAATTCAACCAACTCAATTAAAGTGACATATGGGCACCATGTGGTGAGGCAGGAGGAGGTGAAATGAGGGTTAGCCTTTATTTTATGACACAGAAATGATGCTAATGGACCCAGACACTAGAGAAACAGTGACCAATACGTAATCTCCGGGACTGAGAAAAAGGGGGATTAAGAATGTCAGAGCAGCTGGTCAGCCGCTCTCCTACTCATTCAGTTAATGTGCACAACACTGTAAAAGTAAGGCAGAAATTTAAACCGCTATGAATGGAAACAACTGATCAAAGAAGTGAAGGCTGCCATACTTTAAGCTAGCTTTTTATTCCATAAAAACAAGCCCTCGTCCTTCCAGAACAGGCAGTACGTATAACTGATGTACCCATTATTTTAACTGATTGAAGGACTACATATATGACAGTAGCTTCAAATAGTAAAAGTCAACTTTGATCTAAGTAAAAAATAAATTCAAAACCTTTGTTCCAAAACATGACATGTAAAATCTGTAGCAGGCACTGTGCTGTCATTCACAGGATAATCTTCTCTCCAAAGTATTAAGTTTAGAAAGTCACATGTCTTCATTCGTGAGAAATTTCAAAAACATGTCTATACTTTTTCACTCAGTAATTTCATTTCTAGAAAGTTATTCTATAAAAATAATCCAAAATTCATAAAATGCTTTACATTCAAATAAGTTATTTCTAATAGGAAATATTAGAAACAACCTAATGTTTAACTTCTCACCAAAATAATGTTTATATTTATTAGTTTTTTTTAACAAAAACCCTGTTCCTCCCCCAGTGTTCATTTGTATAAAAAGTACCACACTCATTCAGTTACTCAAAGCCTAAATCCCTGCCATCACTCTTTACTCTTCTTCCTCACATCTCACATCGAAGCTACCATGATATCATATTGCGTCTATATACCAAATCCCACTACTAATCTCTTTTTCTGCTACCATCTTAGAGCAAGCCATCATCATCTTCTGCCTGTTATACTTTAACAACCTCTTAACTCACCTTGTTTCCACTTGACCAACACCGCCACCTGCGCTTGTCAGTCTGCTGCCTATATAGTAACTACAGTGGCCTTTTAAAAGAAAATTCGGATCTGTTGCTCTTAAGTTTCTAATGGCTTTCAATTACATTTAGATTATAATAATCCAAATGCTTACTAGGCTAACTAATGCCCCATATAATCGGATACTCCACATATTTCTCTGAACTCTGTTGCCACCCACTCTCTACTCCGTACTAGTTTCCTTACAATTCTAAGATCACACTAAGCACCTTGCTATCTCCGGGCCTCTGATTTTTATTCTTTTTATTATTTATTTTTGTTATTTCAGAGAAAGTTAGCAGGGGAGAAGAAGGGAGAGGAGGAGAGGAAAAGACAGGACGAGAGGGAGAGAGGGGAAGGGGAGGGAAGAGAGAGAGAGAATGAATCTTAAGTAGGCTCCATGCAGATTCCGGGCTCAATCCAATGACCCTGGGATCATGACCTGAGCAGAAATCAAGAGACACTCAACTAGATGAACCACCCAGGCCCCCCCTCTCTGGGCCTCTGAACTGCAGTTCTGTCTACTAGAAATGTGCTTTCCCTAGAAATCTGCAAGGTTCACTCCCTCACTTCTTATCTTTCTATTTATGTGCCTTATTCAGATAGAACTGCCCTGAGAGCCCTAGGAAAAGGAGTCGTCCAAATTCTCAATCCTTTTATCATGCCTCATTTTCATCAAGGCTCTTATTAGTACCCAATAATATGTTGTGCATATATTTACTTTCCTTCTAGCCCATGGAAGGAAAGATATAAACTCTATAGAGTACGGAGGGTTTGGCTTACTCACTACTACTTTCTCAACACCTAGACAGTGCCTGACACACATTACAAAGCTTAAGAAATATTTGTCAAATGTTGAATGAATACTAAAATCTTGTGGGGGGAAAAAACCCCAGAAAACCATTTATTATTTAAGACATGTTTCAAACAGCAAAGGAAAGCTAACATTATAATATAAACTGACAAAATATAATAAAGTATCTTATACAGAGCATACAACACAGAAAAAAAGAAAAAGGAAACTACACCAAAAAAAAAAAAAAAGTTTATACTAGCTGCCTCTAGAAATCATTCAAGGTAACTAAAAACTTTCATTTTCTTCTTTTACCTATCTTAACTTTGAAGAATAACTGAATGGCAAAGCTGCCCTTACCCTAACAAAACAAAACAAAACAAACAAAACCCTCTGGCCTACAGAAAGTTTATTCCAGAAAAAACCTGAAAGTTATTTTTCTTTCTTTTATTCATTTATTTATTTTGAGAGAGAGAGAGAAAGCAGGAAAACAAGCATAAGCAGGAGAGTGGCAGAGAAAGAGAGAGGAGACAATTCTGACTTGGAGCTCAATCTCATTGAACCAAAAGAGCAGAAATCAAGTCAGATGCTTAACCAAATGAACCACCCAGATGCCCCTCTAAAGGTTACTTTTCAATGTAAACTGAAGTTTCTCAATTACTAGGAAGATCATGCAATTTGTTTTACTAACTGAGTCCATTTTAGTCAAGGGGTTCAAAATGTAATTTACAAGTGTTAATTGATCTACACTAGGTGTAGATTGAGACTTACTTAGGGGAAACCGTCCTACCCTTTCATGCACAATAAAGTTCTAAGTCTTTAGGACAATCTTAAAACCTCCCAAACCCATTAATCTCATTTCTACTTCTGCTACAAAACATAACACATGTGCCACACTAAGCTGACTACTGGCCATTCCATTAAGAATGCCTCTGAATTTTAACTTCCTAGAAGGCCTTTTGCTCCCCTACTCTGCCTAGAGAAGTCCTATACCTTCCAACTTAGTGCCACCTCCTCAATGAAGCGAATTCTTCCTTTTCCATATATAGTATGTTTTTATCTCTGATCAAAGATTTTTGGGGGCAGTTGGGTGGCTCAGTTGGTTTGAGTGTCCCAACTGGCTCAGGTCATGATCTCACAGTTTGTAGGTTTGAGCCCCGCACTTGGCTCTGTGCTGACAGTTCAGAGCCTGGAGCCTGATTTGGATTCTGTGTCTCCCTCTCTCTCTGCCCCTGGTCTGCTCATGCTCTCTCTCAAAAATAAATAAACATTTAAAAAAAAAAAAAAAAAAAGGGTCTTAATCTTGGGCCAATGAATGGCCTAATAAAATTTTTGAAATTTTGAAATTATATGTAGACACTTGGTATATGTTCTTCTTTGAAAAGAAAGTACTGTGACTACATTCAGATTCTAAAAGTAATTCATAACCCAAAAGGATAAGAATCATTGCTTTATCATACCGCTTTGGATTATAATTGTTTATTTCCTCATCTTTTTCACTACTCTGTGAGATATTTCTAAGTTTATTATTTTGAGAGGAGAGAGAGAGAGTGTGCATGTGCACGCACATATGTACAATTGGAGGAAGGGAAGAGAGAAGGAGAGAGAGTGTCCCAAGCAGGCTCCACACTGTCAGTGCAGAGCCTGATGTGGGGCTTGAACTCACAAACCATGATATCATAAAAAAACAAAACCAAAAAATAAAAATTTAAATTTAAATTAAAAAAAACCCATGATATCATAACCTGAGCTGAAGTAAGGTACCTAACCGACAGAACCACCCAGGTGCCCCACTCTGTGAATTTCTTTAAAGCATCTTAACTGTAGGGTTAAGGAGTAGATGGTATGATGAACTGAAATATTTAAAAGACATGTCTGATTGCTCAATTCTAATAGTCTGATTTCTCTTCAGATTGTATAAATCTTTCGCCTTTTACTGACTGCTCAGTTCTCCCTCAGGCTCACTGTAAGACACCTGAAATCTGCTTCTAATTTTATTACCTTCATCCTCTAACTTTTAAATTTCCCTCCATTTATGACTTTGAATCAACCATTTAACATAAAAAATTTAATTTCCTGGGGATGACTGGGCAGCTCAGTCCATTAAGCAAGCATTGACTTCAGCTCAGGTCATGGTCTCAAGGTTCATGAGTTCGAGCCCTGCATCTGGCTCTCTGCTGTCAGTGCAGAGTCCACTTTGAATCTTCTGTCTCCTGCTCTCTGACCCTCTCCCCTCACAAAATTAAATATAAAAAACTAAATTTCCTAGAGTAAAACCAATGTTCTCATTTCCAAACTCGGACTTTTGTTATGTAATCAAAGGGGAAAAAAAAAGAAACTGTTGAAATTTTAAAAAGTAAAATTGAAACAATTTTTTAAAACTATCCAAAGAGAAAAATTAAAACTCAATGCCCTAAAGCAATCACAAGACCAAGGACAGAGGTGGGCTTATGGAAAGATGAAAAAATAGGAAAACAGGAGATGACAGGTGTATGAGCCAATCTTAAGACAGTGCTTGTTTCACATTCACTTGTGAAATTAAGATGATCAGGAAAAAGGCCTAGTCACCGTCTTCTATTACATACACCTATTTCAGTTCAGAATTTTAATTTCATTTTTGCCAAAAACCTTTCACATGCCAATCAAAACAACACGGCTGTGACATCAAAGCCTCATGTGCGAGAAGTTTCACAATCCGACCAGCAACGACGCAGTACTCACCGTGCCGTACACTGCCGGGACAGCGGGAGTGAAGAGTCGATCCTCGAGAGGCTGCTGCGCAGGTCCTCTAGGAATTCTAGAAGAGTGAGTTAAGGATAAGAGAACTCAAAAGTGCCTTGCTTTAGCATTAACAAAAAAAATTATCATCACAAGATTCTGTCAATGACCCAAGTTCTGTCATGTAATTACTAAGGTTACTCATTTACTTCTCCACAAAACTGGAAAACAACTATTTCACATTTCTTCATGTAATCAATCTCTCCAAGTGATTCCCATGATAAACATTCCATGGCAACTCAAAACAAACAAGCCTCCACATGTTAGGTCCATGATGAGAATCTACCACCTTTCCTTTCTAGAGAAAAAGACTAAGGAAGTATGTATGAGCAAGAGATCCAGGAAGATACATGGCAATTACTGAAAAGGACACAGTCTCTTCAGCTAACTGCACAGGAATGGCGAATATAATTGTTTCCAGGTTTTTCTATTTTGGCTGCTTCTTTCCCCCTTATCTCCCAACTGACTCATTAAAAAACAACAAACACAACGGCTCTCCAGCATAACAATTAAAATATTCCAGCATGTGGCCAGGATATTGTTAAAAGACAAGACTATCATTTTACTCAGCTTCAAAAGTAAATGATATGTGAGCTCCATCTACCTGGTGATGAGGGGTGACATTTTACCTCTTTAGACTGACCACAACAACAAAGAATAGCAACCAAAAGATTAACAGCAACTGTTTCCACACAGTGGGATTACAAAAGTGTACTGAATGTTTCTACAGTAAGTTTTCTGTATCATTTAAATGTATTTTTTAAGATGACTAAATATACAGTAAACCCAAAATAAAACAGAATGCCTCCTTAAGCCTAGCAAATACTTCCTATTTCTCACATCATATTCCTTTCTAATTCAATGAAACATTCTGGAAAACAGAGACAGCTGCAATTAATAATTTTATATGAATGACCACAAGTTACAGAAACCTCAATCATTGGAAGTTACATTCTTTATATGTAAAAGCAGCAATAGTTTGCTGAGGTGAGAGAGAGAAAATAAAACAAAACCACCCATGTTTTACTCACTCAAAATTAATAGCACTGTACCAGTCTCTAGACAATTCTTTAACAAACTCAGACCAGTTTATGTGTTGTAATGAAAACACCCCCTACACACAAGAAACTGATTTAAAATGCTGCAAAAAATAAGAAAGCTAAAACATTTCATACAGGAACTGCTTCATTAAAACTTTATATATGTCTGCAATGTAGAAAACATAAGACTAACAACAAGTTCCTGGACACCAGTCTTCATTATGAGCTTGTCAGAAAGAAGATTATCCTTGGATGAAATAAAAGTTTCTTTAAACTATAGCTCTGCACAGTGTTCACATGATGGTGGAAAATATGAGGCCATTACTTCTTCTGCAAAGCCAACTGCTAGTGCTTCTTCTAGTGAGGGCTAATGCTCACCACATGGGCCTAAGTTCTCAAATGAGAGTTATCAGTACTATGTCCCCAAGGCTGAGCCACACCAGTTAAACCTTACAAAGGAAGGTTAGAGTTCCTGATTTCTATTAGTTTATCTTAATGCCTAACAGCATAATCATGAGATGTGTAAAGAGGCAATCATATATTTGGCCAGGAATCCCACCAACAAACCTTTCTCCTGGGCCACAAATAAATATGTTGGCTTTGTTTATTTCACTCTCTGTAAACCACCAACAGAATACTATTTTGAGGAGCGCCTGGGTGGCTCAGTCAGTAAACCATCCGACCTTGGCTCAGGTGATGATCTCGCAGTTCATGGGTTCGAACCCCACGTCGGGCTCTGTGCTGACAGCCAGCTCAAAGCCTGAAGCCTGTTTCGGATTCTGTGTCTCCCTCTCTCTCTGCCCTTCCCCCACTCATGTTCTGTCTCTCTCAGTCTCAAAAATAAACTATTAAAAATTAAAAAAAAAAGAATACTATGGTTGATAATACATTGTTTCTTAAAAGAGCTGTTAGGTAAAAATTCTTTTTTTAAAAAAATTTTTTTTTATAGTTTATTTATTTTTGAGACAGAGAAAGACAGAGTATGAGTGGGGGAGGGGCAGAGAGAGGGAAACAGAATCCAATGCAAGCTCCAGGCCCTGAGCTGTCAGCACAGAGACCTATGCGGGGCTCGAACCCATGAACGGTGAGATCATGACCTGAGCTGAAGTCGGACACTCAAGTGACTGAGCCACCCAAGCGCCCCCAAAATTCTTTATTTTAAAACAAAAACTTAATTCTCTAAAAAAGAAAGCTGAAAGCAGAAGTCAGGAAATCTGAATCTAAAATGGGCTGCAAGCCTAACCAACTATGCGGTCTTCTCTGAACCATTTTACAGTATCTCCTATAAACTGACACTCAGCAAGAAGTAACCTGTCCAAGTTAACAAGGCTAAGTACTCAGACCAAGTCAAGTCTTCCTGAATTCTAAAAGCCACTCTCTTCCTATTATATCAGTATGTCATGGACGGAATATTTTATGGCATAGTAAACAACAGTATCACAACCTGCTCAAAATATGGTTGCCCCTATCTACATGACAAAACTAAATGAACAGTTCATCTCCTAAAAGAGTCATTGGAGTCACTCCAAAACTTCTAGAAAGCCCCAAATTCTTGGCCCAAACTGAATCATCTATCTGCCCAATGTCAAATGTACACTTATTAGTATAGACTTGGCAAGTACTGTATCAAACTAAGTGAGCTTATTTTACAGTGCATTTTTTTCCTTTTGCATATCTTCATAGATATGCAAAAAAACACTAAATTGTACACTTAAAAAGTGTAAATTTTATGGTGTGTGTGTGTGTTGTATCTCAATAAAAAATTTAACTTGCAGGGCACACCTGGGTGGCTCAGCTGGTTAAGTGTCCAACTTCGGCATAGGTCATGATCTCATAGTTCTTGCATTAAAGCCCTGCATCCGGCTCTGTGCTGACAGTTTAGAGCCTGGAGCCTGCTTCAGATCCTGTGCCTCCCTCTCTCTCTGCCCCTCCCCTGCTCATGCTCTGTCTCTCTTACTCTCAAAAATAAACATTGAAAAAAATTTTTAATTTAACTTTCTATATTTTTGATTATTTGCATATAAGTTATTTACCCCCTCTTTCCACTAAAAACATCCTCAATAAATCAGTATGAATTAGGGGTGCCTGGGTGGCTCTGTCAGCTAAGCGTCCAACTTTGGCTCAGGTCATGATCTCATGGTTCATGGGGTCGAGGCCCGCGTCGGGCTTTGTGCTGACAGCTAGCTCACAGCTTGGAGCCTGCTTCTGATTCTGTGTCTCCTTCTCTCTGACCCTCCCCTGCTCACGCTGCTTCTCTCTCTCTTTCAGAAATAAAAAAAAAATTTTTTAATTTTTTTAAAAAATAAAAGCTTCTAAAAAATCAGTATGAAAAGGCACTACTAGGCATTTTCTCCATAAATAAGTGAATTTGAAGAAATGACATGCATGTGAAGCTCTTTCACAACAACATATCTCCTAATTCTGCATGTCATTAAGCTTATTACCAGCTTTCACCAAGCGCTGTATCTCGGGCATATATCACTGGAGATTTACTTATTTGCTTTTGAGCTCAAGGTACCCAAAAAATTTGGCTTCTCAAAGTACCACTTAAAATTCAAATTCAATTAATCAGCAGTGATAATATGCATGTGCAGTGCTCCAGAACATGTTGTTTTTATTATTTTTAATCTCAACACTGAAACACAGTAGGCGTTCTCACTTGACACTTCTATGGTTCAAACTGCTATGAATTAGATCATTAGGAAATACAAGGAAAATCGTCAGCAAGACCAGAAGGATGGTATATAATAATTGAATTAAGACCTTAAATAGAAACACAAATGCAAAATATTTAATTCTGCAATTTTGTTTTCTAATAAAAAATGTCAGAAATAAATAAAATTTGAAGACTAAAGAGTATTAAAGCACAAGAGACTCTAAATTGATTATTAAAGTACTCACTACATGTTCCCCACATTAAATGTCAATTAGGCAGATACACAAGTTTGAAACACAAAATTTTATCAAAGAAATCCAAAGATCAATGAGATTGTAATGATCTGAATGTTTCCTGCTTATGTCAGGAAAGAAGGGACCAGTAACTTGTTAATTTACAGATGTGTACTGAAATTTCATGAATAATGAACTCTCATTAGGATGAAGCTTCTTGATCAATGACAATAGTATCTGACTCTACATTTGACCTGTAGTCACTACCTCCTCAAAAGGTAGTAATTTTGAGAAATTAGAAAACAAGTAATGAAAGTCAACAGAAATCTTCCTCCAGTATGCTAAAACACTAATGTTCCATTTACAACTCACAGCTGAATGTTCCTAAACTTTGCCCCAATCCATTATAAGAAAAGTTACTATCCCAAATCAATCTCAGCATAAGCAGTATTTATAGTGACACCCTCAAGTTATTACTTCCTCACTGAAATTGAAAACAAGGATACAAATCCCATTGCACAAATGACTTTAGAGAAGACACAGGCAACCAATTTCAGAAAATGAAAACAAACATATGAACAAGATCTTTTTCTACATTATTTCTTATTTAAGCTTTATGGCAATATGATATTATCAGTCAATTTACACCTTTCTCCACTTTCTCTTTCTTTCATTTTTTTTTTTTTTGTTGTTGTTGGTTTGTTTGTTTTAGATTTTATTTTGAAATAATCTCTACATCCAATGTGGGTCTCAAACCTACAATCACGAGATCAAGAGTCGTATGTTCTATTGACTGAGCATCCCTCCTTCTTTCAATATAGTTTTGATAACAAAAGAGGAAGAGAACATGTATACCATATAAGTATAAGGGCAAAATTTCTATACTATACCCTGTTTCACATACAATTGCTTTGGAAATAGCTATATTCCATTTAATATTAATTCTGACCCATTAAGGAAGGGATATGCGCTTTAAAATTTTTTTCAATGCAATTTAATTAATCTAGTAAACCCTAATGATAAATAATAAAAGTAACTCCTAAAAGGCAAAACTTAACCTACCTTTATAAAGGAGGTGCACTAGTCAAAA